GGACAAACAAAATGTTTAATTTTCTATTGGGTGTTTGCAGCAAAATATTGATCAAATATACACTTCGTGACATAAAAAATGCAATACAACGTAATACAAACGTTCGAATCGAATTGAAAATTCGATTGCACTGTAAACATCAAGCATTAGATTTCCATTTAAACAAATGGATCTTCCTGTGTAAACAAACGCATTATTTAATGTACACATTTGGCTTAGCAATGCTAGTTTGTGTGGCCAAAATTTGCATTCGTCCCGTTGTTTGACCAGTGTCAAAAAGGGTAACACCATCTTAAGACATTTCATTTCACTCACTCACTTTCATCACATCTATTTCGATCAAATGTTGAATATAACCAATTTGATAAACATTATCTTGTACTTTTTGGTGTTTGGCATCAGTCTTTTGCCGTTAGTCAATGTTTCGCTCGAGTAAATACAAACATATGCCTCTGGACCTTTGCACACTTTTATATTTGATTGAAATCCCATTCATCATATCCTAATCAAACAAATTCGGGTATAAATTGAACAATATCACCATTCCAGTAAGTATATTCAATATTCATTAAATGTTTACGAACCGAAAGATAAATATTTTGAAATGGTTTTTTATGCCATCATTGCCATTTTTGTTGGAAAAATTGAGTTTTCCAATTAATTCATTTGCACTCAACGAAAATGAAATAGAGAACGACAGGGAAAAAACGAGATATTTTGAAAATCATATTTCCAAAGATGTTGAAAGATAAAATGAACGAGATAAGCGTCATTTTATCATCGAAATTATTTGAAAGACCGTCATTGAAATCAAATGTTGGAATATTTTCTATTTTACTGAGACATTATATTGAGATATTTTAAGTTAGCTGAAACAGTTCAGGCGCTGAAATGGAGCGAATAAAAATACTGTTGCGCCTGACATTGGCTGCCCGAAGCTGAATCAGTTGACTGAAAATAAATAAAGTTTCAATATTTACATGTTCTAGGGGGTAGACACAACTAAAAAAAACTAAGAAGAATAAACAATATCAAAGCCCGTGTCTCCCCCTAGTACATTTTGCATATCTGATTTTGCTGTTTTCCTCATTTCAATCATTGATTGTGCTATTGTGCTTTCTATTGCAGTATTCAGTGACGAATAAAAAAAGAAATCGATCCAAAATGAAATTAAATAACATTGTGAAACCGATTCGACTTTTTGTTGCATTTCGAACTCAAAATGGCTATAAAAATATACTGGCCTAGTTATTGTTCCATCGCTTGCCAGCCAAAATGTAACGATTTATAAAAAGTCTAGGTGTCAAAATAAGCGAACTGAAATCATCTGTTTCCATCTCTATTTCATTTTCAAATGGCTCACTTTATGCAATAAATTTTCATTTGGAAGGAAACGGATCCAAGTGATAGCGTTTTCAGATAATAAAGCTCACAATTTTCAATGAAATACACACCCTCATCAGCACACGCAGCTGGGCAACAAAATGTTTGCTGCTTGCAAGTGAAAACAGATATAAAAAAATGTATGGCATTCCAAAAAAGGTCAGAAAAATGTGTGCAGAGAAAAAACAAACTATTAATTTTTATGGATAAAAGTCGGTGCGCTGTTTGAAAAGGTATTTTTTTTCGGTTCAGTTTTCTATTTAGCTTTGGTAAATGGCTTTTCCGATTTAAGAGCAGCACATCATAATTCACTCACATTCATACACCATCGCCAACCAGACAGACGATGAGTATAAGTGAAAATGATATGGATTTTAAAAGTTTACCAAACAATAACTGTTCTGCTAACTTCTTGTGTAAACAGTTCGTTCACTTTTTCATTGAGTATTGTGTCTGTATGTGCGTGTGTGCGTGCCTGCGTGTGTGTGTGCACGCGCGTTGATTTCAAAATAATAATATTGTTTCACAAACCGGTACTCGAAAACTTTGGTTACACACATGCATACCCAAACACATTGAACACAATTTACATTTGCAATTTGAATGCAGGCACCTGCCGACAGTGGCTAGGTGCATCAAAATTGTTCATCGTAATAACTATCGCACGAAAAATTGTAAAATTAAAGTTTTCCCATAAAAATACGGATTAAACCTAAGCGCGCCGACAAGCTATTTAAGCCAACGTACACAAATGAGAGACAAAGCGAAAAAGAACGAGAGAGAAAGAGAGAGAGAGAGAGAGAGAGAGAGAGAGAGAGAGAGAAATAGAAATAATGAATAGAAAAGAACTTGTCTCATTTTCATATAATGGTCAAAATTGCATTCGCATCCAGCAAGCATAGAATTTTCACTTTTTGCTTTTGACTCAATGCAACTTGCACCGTATCACCTTCTAAAGTCCTTGAGGCTCAAATACTACAAAACTTCTGGAAAAGTTCTTTTTTTTTTCAACATACAACAAGCATCGCGATTGTAAGCCTCTGTGTAATGCATAGAACAATCCAAGTAGTACCGAATGAAGGCAAAAGATGGAGAGGGAATAAAAAGAGAAAATACAAGACAAAAAAAATCAATCGTAATTGGCTGTATTCCGTTTGAACGTTGAAACATTTAAAATAAAGTTTACGTATTCACTGCAATTTGATATCATATATACATTAAATAAAGTTCGGATGATGCGCGGATTAAAACGCAAACTGAATCAGCAACACATTGAACAGCAACAGTTTCAAATTAATTAAAAATTACACAAATTGGCAGTTTAACGTCAGATACAAGTTTATCAAACTATTGGTTAAAAAAACCGAAAAATAACTTTAAGATAAATGTGAAAATGTGCGTCATGCGGAATTAAAGCAATTATTGATTTCCGAATTTTCCATTTCTGTTAGCTTTCTTTCTCCAGTTTTTTTTCCACCGTGTTACTTGTTCCATATCCGTTCTCGCACTGAACTTTTAATTACGTGTTCACATTTTCAAAATTTCAACGTATTTCCGTTCTCTGTAATATTTTTTACGGCGTTGGTTTTTAATTAAAACATGTTTTTCGTGCCATCAATGAGTGGAACGTTGCCAATGAGTGAAAATAATTGCAGCGAATGGATGGAATTATGTTGACTGTATCGTTGTGTGTGTGCGTGTGTATGCTGTACTTCATGGTAAAGTGATAAAGCATGATTTCAATGTGATTTTAACAGTTGGAGATATCAATTTCAGTGGTTTGCTGTTTTTTAAAACACCCAACCGTGCTATAATACGTTAGTAAGACACGAATGCGTGCATCTTATTCAATTGAAAGCAATTGGATGTTGTTGTTGTTGTATGTCAACGTGTAGCAAATACAGCTGCCAACATCACATTTATATCGAAATTGCACGCAGACCTTTTCAATGTAAGTTTATACTATTTTCAAATTGGAATTTTGCTTTGGCAGTTGCTAATAAGAAACGACCCACTTGAAGTACAATCGAATAAATGTTTTCGTCTTACAACAATGTTTCAGTTGTCGTCTATTGAAAAAACGAACAGTAAAACTTTGCATCAAGTTTTCAATGATTGTGAGCACTTGAAAGCGAATAAACAAGATTATTGGCTGACAACAAAATGAAAATGGATATAAAGAAATGAAACGTCAGTTTTTATTTTTCTTAATTCTATATTTTGTGTATGTATGCGGGGCCGGTATTCTAATACACTTTTCCGATCAATTTATTCAGAATTATTCCGAAAAATAAATTTCTATGAATGAAAATTAGCGAGAATAAAAGGCGTAAGACAAAAACCAAACAACACTCCACTTATTTTGAGGGAAATTATTCCGAAACCTCTCTACATGATGGAATTAATTATAAAGTTTCTATTAAATAAAATGCACCAAAAGTATCAAAAAATAAAACTCTAATGGGTCTCTACATTTGACGCCAAACGTTAAAAAGATTTTTAAAAAATTGTCACACACTCGAAATGTCAGCTACCGCGGTCAGGCACTGACACGGACTGAAAACAATCGAAATGATTGTTATATTGATTGCAGTAATGTAAGTGTTAATATAATAATAACTTCTATTGTTTTCACTGAGCTGAGTTAAATTCCGAACGAATTTTGTGGAATTATCGTAGAATACCGGTGACCAAATTTTGTCTTTTTGAACGGAATGGAGGTTAATAAGAGATTTACATTTATCACCACAAATGGATTTTAAATAAAATAAATGAATAAAAATTGTTGAGTCTTTAATTGATATTCAAAAGAGAAGACTTTTTTGCGAGCGTTTCTTATTCCATAACCTTTACAATAATTTTAAACTGAAGCCGAAGTGACATTATCAAATCCCTAATTGTCGGTAATCTTAACACCTTTTTATGTTCAACAAAAAATTGTGTTGGCTCAATAAGCGGTTTCATTTAACTGAACGGAAAAAATATTAATCATTTGATTGGGTTGTTTCATTTTTATGGACTCAAAATGCAAACCGTATTTTTATTTATTCTTCCTTATTAACTCAGTAATTTGAACTTCAAATTTTGAAGTTATCTTGCACTTTCATGGATCGAAACCAATTTGACATTTTTCATACAAATCAAATTTTAAACTATTTTTCTGATTGGTTTTGGCTTTGTTTTCAATAAAACGAGAAAAAAACACCGTTTTGCTCATAAAATGAAATTTCATTTTCGATTTGGTTTGAATTTCGATCGCTGGAAAAACTAATTCACAATTATTTGTTACTGTATTTTGACGCATTTGTGAATGCACTTATTGTTTGTGAATATATTCCTTTAGAAACAATTCTAAAAAAATTTGAACACAAAAAAAGCAATCATGTTTACTAATAATAAATTGAAATTATTTATTTGAATTAAGATTCGTGAAATATTATTTAAAACATCCATAATTATTGATCATTGTGCACTTGTACACAGTCGCAATCCACTTGTGCATCCCATATATGTAAAAGTCCATTCACAATAACCACTTGATAAACCCTGCTGCTATGACATTTGGCATCTCAGTATGTCTAATACGCACAACTGCCAATATTTTTGCATTTGTTGTTTGCAAGTAGTCTTTATCTGGGTGTGATTGCATACAGAACGTGTTGATCTCGGTTTTAATAAAAATAAACTTGAACAAATTTCATCATATTGATTACAAAACAAACTGACCAAAAGAATGAATAATTCTATAGAATTCGACGATGACACCATTACCGGTTTTCCAATTCAGATCGTTTTACCCAACCAAATTGACGAAACATTTCAGTTTGAGAAAAAACCTCTCGAGCAATTGCTAAATTCCGACGACATTAAAGACCATCAAATTGTTGTTGTTTCCATTGCCGGTGCATTGCGGATGGGAAAATCTTTTTTGCTGAATTTTTTCCTGAAATATTTATACGCCAAAGTAAATAAATTTAAATCAAATTATCTTAATTTTATTAATTCCAATACGATTTTTGTGTAGTACAAACGGAATAACGTAGAGGATTGGATTGGAGAGAACAAAGATTGTGACCAGTTTGGATTTAAATGGCGAGGAGGTCAAAACCCAGAAACAAACGGCCTTTGGATATGGAGTGAAATATTCACTCACGAAAATAATGGTGTTAAAATAGCAATCATATTGCTAGACACTCAAGGCATTTTTGATGATACGAGTGGCATGAAGACATGTACTACAATTTTTGCATTAAGTACATTGATTTCATCCGTTCAATGTTACAACATCATGCGCAGTATTAAAGAAGATGACCTCCAGCATTTGGAGTTGTTCACTGAATACGGCCGACTTCTTTTGGAGTCATCGGATGAAACTCCGTTTCAAAAATTAATCTTTATCGTCCGTGATTGGCCATATGCATGCGAAACGGATTTCGGATGGAATAACGAAGTTATTGACAAGAAACTTGCCAATAGTCGAGAAAGAACAGCTGAAATGAATAGTTTACGAAAACGGATTCGTTCAAATTTTGACGAAATTAAAGCGTTTTTATTGCCTTATCCTGGTGGAGAAGTGGCAGAAAGTGACAAATTCGATGGAAGTTTACAACAAATTAAGAAAAATTTCATAACAAATGTTAAGGAATTAGTGCCAGATATTCTAGCACCAAAAAATCTCGTCGTCAAGAAGATCAATGGCCAACCGATTCGAGCTGGCAAATTGGTACATCTTTTGGAAACATATATTAATGTTTTCAATAGTAATAAGTTACCGGAACCAAGAACCGTTTACATGGTAAATGATTTTTAGTATTTGGCCAAAATGGTTTCAAATCTTCATTTCTTTCATTTTAAGGCAACGGTTGCATACACAAACACTGAGTTGTGTAGAGATTGTATGGCATTTTATGAAAATGCTATTCAGAAACAAATCAAAGAATGGTCAACATTTATCGAAGTCACCAAATTGGACGAATTCCATAAAGATGCCAAATCGAATGCATTAAAAATGGTTGGTCTCTGATTAGTTATGGTCATTTATGATTAGTTGTTCAATTGTGAAATTATAATTTCTTTTTCAACAGTTCGATGGTGCCATGAAAATGGGTGATCGGAATACTGTGTCGTATTTTAAAGACACGTTAAAAGAAGAGATCAAGAAGAGGTTCAAAGAGATCAAATATGAAAATGAACTAAAGCGCGAAAATAATGTCAATGTACGTATATATTATAATTCATTTATAAATAAGTAAATTTTATAGTAACCAATTTAAATATTCCCAAAGTCTTTACGAAAAGTGACGGCTGGTGCTGCTTTTGGTGCTGTTGCTGTTGGCATTGCAGTTTTTGGTATGGCTGCCGTTTTGCCTTTTGCTGGTCTAGCTATTTTGTGAATGGGACTCACTCGGGCTCTCTGATATATTTTAATATTAACTCGTAGTACGCACAAATATTATAAATATTTGAAATAGTATAAGATTAGAAGGCTTATTCATATATCAATATATTTTACCATAGCATATTAGAATTTTTGTGACTGCCCTGTGTTTTGTCTGTTCCTTACATATTATGGAATATATGTTATACGAGTAATAACATTAAAAATTCGAAATCAATGAACACTCAAAGTATTTGACAAAAGTGTTTTAAAAGATTTGATACTTTATCTCTATCACTCATTTGAAATAAAAATATAAATTTTAGTAGTAAGTACTATTATATACAAAAACTATTACGGATTAATTAAAAGGACGTTAATTTTCTACAAAAAATATGTGGTTATTCCTTTGCACGTTTTAAGAGTTTGAGATTTGATGTCATTTACAGATTCACAGAATTACAGATATGAGTAATTTGTTCTATGAAACCTTGGATTTGCATATATAAGCATTTTTGGATCTGATTTTAAAATATTTCGCTTAAATATACAAAACTTTGATTAATCGATGTAAACATCACGACAAATTGATACCGGCAGTTCATCATGTTGACACCGACAGTTTCATATGTAAACTGCATCAAAGCGAATTATAATTTTATTTGTGTTATCAGTGATTTTTTCTGGCTACTATGATACTTTTCGTTGCGATAATGAACAAAAAACCGCAGAATGTGTTTATTTTGTTTACTTATATCAATGCTCAAACCAACACATTTTTTGATATAACAAACGTTCTCGATGTAAATATGTATTGAATCGAAAAATTTTTTTACAAAAAAGTGCTCTATGGTACTTCCGAATGGTTACTGACAAACTGATTTTTATATAGTCAGTATATTTATTAGTCAATATATATTTTTTTCATAATAATTATCGTGAGAAAAGTCAACGCGATATGGCATAGTTGTGCGTGATCACCCTTATTTGCATTTGAAATGCAAATGCTGTACAAATTGTTTCTCTTTGTTTTACAAACACAATAATTAAAAAGCGTATTTGTATGTGCACAATGTATGCCCCTCTTCTCTTCTTCTGTCAACACCAATCCCTATCGTCGTCTTCAAATGTAACTCTCTGCTGTAAATGTAATAACTCATTTTCGATGAATTTGCAACAATTCAAAGGGAATATTGTTATTATGTTTGATTCCATTTGCGTGAATTTCCAACATTTTCCTTGTAATCCTTTTAATGGAAACATAAATTATTAATTTTATTGTGATGAATAATTTAAAGTCAAGACTTTGCAAATCTTCTAAAATCTCCGTCCCATTTCCATTCTTCGCTTCTTCTACCTCTGTTCCTCCTATTGTGCTTCCATCGAGAAAGTGCCATTAAATTGTTCGCTGAAATTACTGTATAGACATAAATTTATTGAATATAATTCAATCATGACAAAACGATTGAAGGTCATATAACACTCAAAATGGTGAGTATAGCGTCGCTATAATAGCGGTACTACTTCATGGTACTTTTTATTGGTGGCCATCAAGAGTAAGCGAAGCATATCGCGTAACGAACACAGATCAAATATCTTTTGTATTGGCATTTCATATTTATTGAATATTGTTTTGTTGCCTGAAGTCAACTTTGTGCATTTAAATTCCAAATGGACAGATAATCGATAGTCGTTAAGCCATAAAAATGTGCTGCAAGCAATAAAAGAAAACCCAACCAAAGCGATTCCTCGTAAATTATTGCTGTCAGCAATTCTCGCTGCGTGTGTGTGTGTGAGTTTCATCATCATTCAGACACGCAGCACTTTCACGCTGACAAAAATCACACTTATGCTCGCCGCCGCCATATAATACCATATATTTTACATGGTAAAATGAAAAAAAGAGTCACTCAATGGTCGTATTGTACATATATTCATATTTGATCTTTTTTCGATGTAATTTCAAATATGAGGCGGGAAAATTGCCTGAGATGGTAATAAAATCGAAATCGTATGTGTCGAGAAATGTAACAGCACAAAATCAACATCGAACACACACCGAACAATAGAATTTAATTACATTTTTGGCAGCACACATTCAAATGCCAACTGAATGATGTTGAATGCATTACACATTATTACAAACATGTACATTGTACATATTTTGTTTCGGTGATTGTGAATACAGTGTGTGTGCGTTCAAGAGACTTTCAATGAACTTCATCATAATATAAAAAAGAGGAAAAGCGAGTGGGGGAGAATATAAAAAAAACATCTATATCCATCCTATATGGATGAATTTGATTGCTGACGAATTGAAACAGATGCCCTGCAACGAATTTTCTTTTATTGGGTGTTGTCATCAAGCGTAAATGAAACGAATGATGGTTAAATTGTGTGAATTGCAAATTTTTCATTCAGTCTAGACTTTAAATCGGCCAAAACAAAACCATCTGCATATTTTCCATTGTGTCAATTCAATCGCGGTTTCTCCCTCTCCCCCTTGCGCATCTTTTTATGTATTATATCAGCCGTTATCAATTATGATACGCAAACCAGATGCTTTGGCTGACATATAATATTTGTAAATAATCTGACGAAGACTTGAGCATTCTTTAATATTAAATAGCCATGCGGAACAATTTTGAAAGCAGTTTTAAAACTCTAGATTGAAATGTAAGCATGGACAGTGAATTACCCTTTTTGACTTGAAGAAACTTTCTGCAACATTTTTCCACAGAATTTATAATGATTTCCAATAAGTCTTTGGCCCATATTTAGAGATAGAGATGCTCATAATTTTTCGATAAATAATAATATCGTGAGTTTTCGATTATTAGGTTACTTTGAAAATCGCACAATTTTCTCTATATTTTTCTCTATTTTTTTCTGCGAAAAATAAAATTCAATATAAATCCATTAATGCCGGAGCATAACATAAAATTCAGATATTAAACGGCAGACGATTTTTATTCATTTTATTTTGTATGTATTGTTCGCAAATTCTCAGCATGTGGTCGAATTGAAAGTCGATAAATTTATAAATTATGAATCATAACAAGGTTTGTGGTGTTTGTATATTTCAAACATGTACTTATTATAAAAAGTCTGTTGTATATAGGGACACGCGCAATTACATATATACTGCACATAACTTAGCTGCACTGTAAGAGATGGTTTAAAAGAAAGGTACTTTAACTAACATTGTCTGACTGCACAATGCCGATTACGTCGCATATATACCGCAACAAGATTTTTTTTAATTCACAAAACACGGAAAAACTATCTACCAACTATTTTCATCACTATTTCATTATTGATATCAGAATCGTCACTTAATCTTCACCTCGTCAGAGGTGTTTTTTGTTTGATCTTAAATACAGTCAAATATATACTGAATCTATTTACTGATTTTGTACGGAATAATCAACGTTGGACAGTAAATTTTATCTCAAAATATTCAAGTGGTAGCTATGTTATAATGGTTTACTTTTCATTAAGTTGTGGCATTTACTGCATTTACAGCTGCAGCCCAATAAATGGTCCAGTGAATTCATTTTCGGGTCGGATACTTTTAGTTTCATCTAAACGTGGAAATAAAATAATGATTTTTTGCTGAATGAAAATCTAGAAGTCAATGAATGTTTTAAAGCATTCAAGTTTTATCAATGAATGCAGGCAGCATAACAAAAGTTAACGTAGCACTTTACTCAAAATTTGAATAAAACACTAGCAACCACAATAATTTATTTAGGGCATTTTGTTGTTCTCAACCCTTTTCAACCAATTAATGCAAATGATGAATATCGACTCCCACGTAGAATAATGACCCCATCACGGAAAGACGCAAACTAAACACAAGTGTTTTTACATTGAGTGTACGCCACTCAACACTTTGGCCGAAAACCAGAGAGAAAAAAACCGGCAAAATATCTTGTTTTAATTCATTTGGGTTTTGATTGTCTTCATAGAATAGGAAACATTTCCCATGGTCGTGTGTGTATGTTTTTTTTATTTCGTTCTTGTGCATTCTTTGGGTATGTTCACTTTGGCACCATTTCGAAAGCAGCTTATACGAAATGCCACCGCAAACAAAACAGTCTACAACTTTTCATTGTAGCAAACATTTTTTTTGTTCATCTATTGTACACTGTTCTCATATTCGAAGCTTTACAACGGACCATTTTTGTTGATTCAATTCTTTTCTCTTGTTGCCTTCATTCATTTCTTTCCCCGGTGCATTTTCTTCTTGCAACAAAAAAAAAATGATTTGTTTGGAAACTGTTTTTCTTTTCTTTTGTTACTTAATTTGGTTATTTGGTTTTTTTTTCTTTTGTGGTTTTGGAACACGATCACCGGTATTTTTTTTTTGCATTTGTTTCCATGTTGAAAAGTAATGCAAAATATCAGCTACGCGGGAAAAGATTCTACACGATAACATAAAAACAAACCGAACAAAAAAACTAAACGATTTCAGGTAAAAATGAAAAGCTTTCAAAATACATGGAATTTGAACAGAAAAAACATTTATAGATCGTGAAACTGTAGACATGAAAAAAAAACCACCTTGTTTATGCTTCGACGAACCATATTAGCATGATTTTATTTTTCGATTTGCTTCTGTTTTGGCGAATTTTCTTTAAATCAATGTTAGGTATATTGCTAATAAACGATGTTTTCACTTATGCAACCGAATACCACGAATCCACCGCATTCTTGTTTGTTTATTTGTTTTTCTCTTCCCTTTGTACTCTCTTTCTGTGTGCATTTCCACCAAGTCGGAAAGTCGCTCAATTAACTATAAATCAATGCAGAACGATTGGTTTTGGTAAATTTACTTTTGTGCCACTCATTCGGCAATAAGGTTGTGTATGCAAATGCACACACACACACACACACACACAAACTGTTTGAGGTGGAAACATAACAATTTTCCTATTTATCGACCAAATCGTCGGTTATGAATGAATTCGAAAAAAAACCGCAATTGAAACCGAAAATGCATTTCAATCGATTCGCCCATGCAACAACAGTAACAACAGATTACAATTATAAATCTCGATTCCATTGCAATCGCTTCGTTATTAGATTATTTCTCTTGAATGGGTAAAAAAAAGAGTCGTCAACAATCTGCTACGTTCTAGCGAACAAACTTCAAACTTCCGATAATTACTCTTGAACATTCCGGGCCGTATAAGCTCCATTGAAAATTGTGTTGATGTTATTTTGTATGTTTGCTTTACATTACAAATGTTACATCAAAATTGGTGTTTGTTTGCCATTATGATTATTTCGGAAGCGGGAACGTTAATCATTGAAGATGTTTTGCGTTATGGTAAATCTGACATTAAGATTACCATTATTATGCT